TACCGCGAGGACGCCCACCCCTACGCGGAGTCGAACCGGTGACCTTATGGTTGCAAAGCAAACGTGCAGACCACTCGGCCACCGGCCGACACCCCAAGGACGATGAGCACGTTTGGTTGGACACACTGGTTGATATGGCGAATATCCGGCCCCAATGGTGTTCGTGTTGCGAGGTTCTTTCTCCATCCCCCTCTTTTCTAGATTTCGCCTCCAATCCCTATACCATTTCTTATGTGATATTTTACATTACTCCCTTTTTGAATATTTTGTACTGTGTTCTTTTTGAATTGCGGGAATATAGTTGCAGTGTATTTCTCACCTTCATTTAATGTGTGTGTGTTTCTCTCGCCATTCTAACGCGTTGTCTTACGTTTTCATCACTTGGTACTCCTTGTCATGATTGAAATGTACTTCATTATCGGACGGTGACTGAAACATAAGGCGTCTGGCTTGTAATTCCAACCTCACCAGTTTGAATCTGCATAATTGCGGGGGACTTTTCCTTATCCTTAGTCGATGCGCTTCTGTTGGTAGTCGCGTTGCCTCAAAGCTTCGGTACAACGAACCGGTCTACTACCGTTTTGAACTTTACCACGCATTGCTAATGACTAGCAGCAGCATTTTAGCCACTGTTCTTCCCTAGCTTTCGATACCTTTCCTTTTCCCAGGATGTGTACGACCGCTTGTGGTCGCATCGCAATGATGCATCATCTCCAAGTACTGACATGCTGCTGCTACCTTATTTCTCTAGTGGTTACCAGCACTCATTGACTATGGTACTATCATGTTGTTGTTAGTACATCTGTGGCCCAGCGCCTTGGTTGACGCGGAACTCGTGACACGCCAACCTTGTTGTTGAGCTATACTCGTGCCGGCGAGCCAGCGCTGACCGTTCTTTTTAATATTATGCATCGATGGTATGATTGTGGTTAGAGAGCTAGGCTAAGCGAGATGGAACGTGACAAAGGAACTCACAACAGAATCGTCATCGAGGTCGGCTCTTTGCCACGTCTGCACGCATATCAAACTAAACGTGTTCATCGTCTTTTGGACCACAATCTCGGAGTCGGGCGATCCCAAGCGAAGCAAAATTCGAAGTGAGAACCTTCATTTTTCTTGCCCAAGTCATCGGTTGGCCTCCCCTCTTCTTCCATCCAGATCTCGGTCGCACAAATAGTGCGCGTGGGTGTGCTGGCGTGGGCTGATCATCGGCAGCTCTCTCGATTCTTCGGCAGCAAAGCATCGGGGGGTCGAGGTTAGCAAAGCACCTATCACCGTTGAAGTTTGCGAGAACGGAGATTTTAATCGCTGTTGTGGATCGTCAAGCGCGTGCAGAACGGTTGAGAAACCCGCACAGATATGCACGTTTCTATTCGTGTTCTTTCACTGCGACAATGGTGTTGTCATTGACTCTCTTCCATCGATCGCGTTATTGATCGCCCGTTGACATAGCACTATACGATACCAGTCTTAAAAATTGGTTCGGCTTCTGTGCGCAGGCATAGCTTCGCTTTGAATTTCGTGCAGTGACTGAGGATCTCCTGAAACCCGGCGAACGTTTACTTCAGCGACTGGCGTTTCCTCCACGGACTTCGATCAGAGGTTTGAATTTTCTTTGGGCCCGATGGCATATCCGATTCATGAGCTAACTTGGGTGTCAACACGGCCACGGTACTCGCAGGATGGACAACGGCGATCGACTCCTGCGACTGTGCGCCGACCACGGCTTGTTCCTGTCCAGCACCAATTTCCGACGTTCCTGGCGCCAACGAGCCACCTGGCGACCTCCGGCGCCTGGTCAATCTTGGACGCAAATTGACCAAATCGCTTTTACTTACCGTTGGCGTAGCTACATAACGGACTGCAAGTCAATATGGAACACTTACCTGACTTCGGATCATGCGCTCGTGTGTGCTAAGTTCGTTATGCGTTTTGGGGGCACCCAACAGCGTTGCCAGAAACGGTTTGACACAGACAAGCTCGCCGTTCCAAATGTTCTGGGCGCATTTCAAAACACATTAGCATTCAATCTACGTTATCTATCCTCCGATGTTGAGACACATTGGGTACCGATCCAGAACGCCTTACGAAAATCCGTTACTCTTGTCTGTGGCTTCACTAGACGAGTACGCCGAGGACATTGCTGTGATTTGCGAGTTTTCCCAAGCCGCTCAGCATGTGCTTCTCAGACTGGAGAGGTCCGCCGCTGAATTTGGGTTGAGCTTTGCTCCTTCTAAATGTAAGGTCCTATTACAGGACTGGCCAAGCGCATGTCCTTCTCTCACCCTTTCGGGTAATCCGTTGGAAGTGGTCGACAAATTCATGTATCTTGGGAGTTGTCTTAGTATTGGCGGTTTGACAGATGAGATCTCTCTGCATGTCTCCAAGTCTAGAGTCGCTTTCGCTAACCTTCGTCACCTGTGCCTTGGTCGTGATCTCAGCCTCACTCTCAAGGGACGAGTCTACAATGCTACGGTACGAGCGATTCTGCTGTACGGCTGTGAGACTTGGCCCGTTTGCAAGAGCGATGTTTAGCGGCTAATGGTCTTCGATCACCGCTACCTGCGAAGCATTGCTGGTGTTCGATGGCAGCACCACATCAGTAATGAGGAAATCCGCCGGCGAGTCTTCAGATCTAACGAACTCCGCTGATCGATTGATAGCATCATCTCACTGCCGAGGCTTCTCTGGCTTGTCCATGTGCTTCGCATGCCTACCCAGCGGCTACCACGACGAGCCCTTTTCTCGAACACAGGTGTGGCTTGGAAGCGACGAAAAGGAGGGCAATGTAAAACTTGGATCCAATGTGTTAAGGCGCAAACTATGAAGCTGGCTGTTGTTAGGCGTTCCTTACTCCCGGGTTGGGGACCAAAGGACCCCAAGCACACCTGGTTGCAAACGCTGGAGGATATGGCTAAGGACCGTACGCAATGGCTCACTTGCTGTGAGACTCTTCAACCCTAACAGTTGTCTTCCTTTTATGCCATCTTTTTCTTCTTATGTGTTGTGGCACTCAGTCAATTATATTGTATTTGGTATAGTATTGAATATATATATATATATCCGGTTCAAGTGGCTATCAAAGGTCCCTAATCCGTTGATGCATCTTCTACCAAGCAGATCAAGCTTTGGTCAGTCCGTCAAGCACCGTACCCGTTTCCTCACTGTGTTAAATGCAATTTTGCGGATACTTTTTTCGACCAGGCACACCGTGATCCATTTCATCAGGGAACACTTTTTGTCCACTTGACATGGTTCCATCTACACTTAGAAATGATAGTTATTTCCGAGGCTGTGTCAAACGGTAGTATCGAAGTGGTCTCGTTGTTATGTATTGTGATGAGCCATCAGCGGAGTTTGAGCTCACTTTGGAACTCGGTCATGACTGGCGTATAGTCTGCGTCAGTATTTTTGGTATTCTTCCAGTGGAACCTTCTCGCATTCATTGGTCGGGACTGCTTGTGGCCTCCTTTGTGACATTTTTGATCTGTGTAACTCAAATGGACCGAATCGTGCAACCTGCATGACCAACAAGTGGTAGACAGTCTGTTCTGTGACTTCCAAATATGTTTGTTTGGCTCAGTTTGATTGGAAACTGTCAAAATACGGACATTTTGCGATTGTGTGGAAGAATACTTCTCGATCATGGCAGTATCATGTTTCAAGCCAGTAACTGTTTGCCTTCGACCGTAAGGGACTTCAGCGTCGTGTCTGGTCTTGATCCGGCTTCAGAAGCAGTCTTTTGTTGATCTCGACATTTTGCAGAGACTGTAACGCGCCTGCACGTATGAGAAGACACTTGAATTGATCATCTGTCGAAGAGCGCAACTTGAAGCGTTCATATTCATGGTTGACTATATCTGCCAGCGTCCCATACAACTCTCTGTCTCGCTTGACAATTTGTATTCACTGGTTGTGAATGTTGACTAGTGATGTCAATTCAATGAACATTTCAATGCGTTGTGGCAATACTTCATTAGCTGTTTTGGAAATATACAATCAGAGGGCTTTGAGTATTAGGGATCGTTCTGACTGCTGAAATTACCTCAAAACATATTTCTTAGTGCTTGAAGCACGCATCAAAAGTTCATCCGGAATCAGCGTAATAGTTCAGTTCGTTATTGACATTTGAGAGGAGCTCAGCGGAACTGGTCTACTTGTTCCACGAAGTTGTTTCTGAAGACACGGGGCCGATGCGTCAAAGTTTCGATCACCTTCATTCGTGCTTTCATCCGAACCTTGCATTTCCGTAGCAACTTTCCGGACTGTTCTGCGGAAGGTTCATTGCATTCCTACTTTTCTCGGTCGCCATTTGTTAGATCTTCCTGTTATAAAGCTTGCATAGCTCCTGGAAGCTTTCGCAGCTTTCACCTGAGCTCACCTCAGCCGCACTAACACCACGTGACGGATCAAACTGCGTACGCACTAACCGAACCTACAGTAGGATAATGTTGGAGCTACTGCCTCAAGCCGCAGTGGATCAACTGGGCTTCCCTCAGATCACTACTGCTACTACTACATAACAACTCATATACCTTGCCAACATCCACCTTTCTCCATATATTTTATGTCTTACATTTCTCTGCTATTGACCTATGCATATCAGTGAGCAGAAGGTATCATTTGCCTTTGGTGTGCGCCATTGGACAAGCTCTTACTATCGGCCAGTCTTACTTTTCTAGGTCTCGGTGCAGTCTTTCGGGATTACGTTTTCCTTCTTCAGTATCAGCTCGCGATAGGCCATACCGATCCGAATTCTTCTGACTAATCTGCGTGTGAGCGTGAAGAGCGTTTCCTTTGTACCGATTTAGAGTCAAGACAACTAGGACGTATTATAGCGCTCCCTTCTGTGTTATTCCAGTTGAAACGATCTCGTTCCCCTCTAGTTGCAACCCTAGTCGAAGTCAGAAGTCAACGTGAGGCAAAACTTGTCACAATCTGGCTACCGAAACGGCAGAAGTAGTGTGAGAATCAACGCATATTTATTAGTCAACCCAGGAATGTTTAAACCTCGGACCGGTATATATGCATTATATATTAGCATCAGTCAGTGGACACCGAGGCATCGAAAAACCATGAGGAACAAAAGTAAAAAAGTGAGACCACAAAAGTCGGTTTTGAGGTGCTTTTTGGCTTTTTTGTTGTTTTCACACGCCATTTGTTCTTTTTTGTCATTTTAGATAATATAGCTCTAATCACATTGTTCGAAACATGTAAATATGCAGTTCTTCCATTGATTCTGGTTTCCCGTCATATCACCAACTGTGTCGAGTTATTGGCAGTCCTCATCCTTGGGCCTTCAACCAGGAAGACGTAAAGGGCCGACGTTTGCCAGGCAGGTCAGCGATTTCATGCTTTGTCGCCAAGTGGTTGGCCGACCACGCGTTATCTTCCAATTCAATCTAGGGCAAACAAATAAGGCACGGCGTGGTAAGCGCTCGCATGACATGCGTAAGACGTGACCAAACCACCTCGATTGACCCGTTTTGTTAGCTACAAAAATTAGCAGTTTAAATCCGCTCCGGTCAGTATGGAAATAAGTGCATGTATCACGCGACAGATTTGAATGTTTCTGAAACAACGATACATCTGCCGTACGTTATTAGTTCAACCCTTTTACTCATGTAGTTTATGCGTTTTCTCTGGAGATTTCTGATTCTCCCTGACAGGCTCCAAATCATTCTCGGATCCTTCTTCGCATGCTTCCATATGTTATTCCTTCCTGTCAATAGAGCGATTCGTGCTGAGGTTGAGGCCTCCGGAGATCCCTATGTGTAGCCACAGATATGCCGTTTGTGTTTTTGTCAGCGTGATAGCTTCCATCTGGATCGAAGGTCCTGACCTCATACCGGAGCTAAATGCTCCTAGCAGTCGCGATTTGTTCGGCAGTAGCGCAAATAATCACTTAGTGTGGCTTGGCAAGGGTTTCAGTACATCCATCCGTCATGACTGGGTGACTAAACGAGTAGAAGTTTCGGCTAACATCCCAATTGTCCCGGGTTCGATGCCCTATCTGGTGAGAGCAGATAAGATCAAGACGCGACATCATGTGCTGTGTTTTCGGACGGTCAACATCCAATTTTTTATTTGAGTGAGATGAGTTATCCACATCGTTTTTATGCCGTGCTATTTCTATGATAATTCAGCTTTGGAACGAAACTGACGCTCTATGCTGGGTAACGCTGCATTTGCGTCCCATTTTTGATAAAACAGTGAAAACTGCGGTATAGTTGCGCGTCATTTAGTTCACCTTGCGTGTGACATGTTTCTATTTATCACTGGGATAGGCCATTGCCCCATCAAGCTCCACCAGTTATGTATAACCAAACATTTTTACATTCTCTCTTGTCTCAGGTGTACGAAATTATGCGACGACGAGACATTGCTCATCTTAAGCGATTGTTGCTCTCCTCGAATTCTCGTTTCAAAGGTCGCAATTCTAAGGGCAAGCAAAAGGTAAAAGACAACCCTCGCGAAATAAAAAGCGTTTCTCAACCCCGTTCCTCACTTCCTCGGTTATCTCTGGACCACATGATCAAAGGTTCTATGTAGGTTCATTTGCTTTGTAATCCGGCATTTTGCATTTATTCAGGTTTCGTTTCCTAAATGAGAAGCTTTATTCAACCGCCAGTGAAGATGCCATGCGCTATTTTTCTAGTGACGAGCGCGCTTTTGAAATCTACCACACGGGTTTTCAGCAACAACTTTCCCGATGGCCAGAGGATCCCCTACGCTGGATAATTAACTATTTGAACGGTCTCCCTTGGAATCCTCCCAAAAGGATGCGCGTTGCTGATATGGGCTGCGGAGATGCCCGGTTGGTTGATGCCTTATCCAGCAATTTCAAAGTCTATTCGTTTGATCTAGTTGCTGTGAACGACAAAGTGACCGCCTGCGACATGGCTCATGTATGTGCTACAATCCCTTTTCTTTCTCATTGAACAGTTTTGTCCATATAATGGTAAAGTGAAGCAACAGCTGTTTACCTAATCTTCTCGATGCGCTCTTTCCGACTTTGAGTAGTGCTTTTGTTTGTTATTGACGTAGATGCATACTTGCGTATGACCTTCAAACAGGATGTCCGCCTACCCTTACAATTGATTCTCGAGTCAGGCCGCACATTGGCCTAGTGGTTTTGCATACTACAGAATCCGGAAACGCAGTTTCACTGAAACCTTTCTCTGTTACTTTCGAACATATTATCCATGTAGGAAACTGGGACCTTTTACTGACTCAGCACTTCAGCTGTCATAGTAGGGCTCCACCGAACAAGGTTGTTTTCCTGGCTGATATAACCCGATAGTCATTCGGTCCTTTATTTTCACAGTAACCTACTCTCTGGTAGTCAAATTGACAAGTATCCGATTCATACGCCTTATTTCTTATATTTCTGTTACTTAATTTCTGCCCTAGTGAAATCATGCCTGCATGGTAAGCTGGAGAGCCTATGGTACTCTGAGGCTGGTGGTGGCTAGATTCTGACAGATGATCTACCCACTGCTGCTACTGTTGCGCCATTGGTTGATGTCCTGGACGCCTCGTGGCGACCGCTGGGTGGGAGTTGGGTTTCGCCCTTCTCCCTGCTATGATCCAGGACACCAATCCGCATGAGTCAGTGAACTGACCATGTGCTAGACCCGCTGCCTTTCGGGTGTATATTTAATCGAAGGCTTTGGCTGAGGACCCGAGTCGTTCTCCTGTCAAGCCTGGGCGCCCTGCCAGTATCTTAGTCCATCCTCTTCGGAGGTTAGGAAGTGGTCGATGGCCCACTTCCCGTAAAATCTAGCCGTGGGAGACAACAGGTCTACAGGTTATAAGCTCACAGCTCGATTGACGTAGTGCACGAGCTCCACGCATTGTCTCTGACGGTTGGAGGGCACCTCCAGGTGTTCAGTAGGTTGCTACGGCCTGCCTCCAGCCAGGCAGCCCCTGTTCAGTTTGGTGCAAACCCGCCGAAACCCACCTGCGTCTGGCCGTGGTCGCAGGTGTATCCTACTACGGTCGCAAAACATATATGAATCGTCCCAATATCTCAAAGGCTGCGTGTGACGGCCGTCAAGCAGATCCCAATCTGTCTCTTCAATCACACTCCCGAGCTGGATCTGCTCCCCAGCTCAGGCTATTGAGCCAAAGGCTTCGGGCGGAGTCCCTCGAGCAAACCTCCAAATCACCCACTGCCTTGTGGTTCAGGCTGTTGAGCCAAAGGCTCAGAGCGGAGTCCCTCAAGCAAACCTCCGAAGCACAACAACCACTTTGCGTGCGAATGCCCACCGATGCAATCGTATGCCTACGCGCAAAGCACTCAGCATCGGATGCTGGAACGTACGTACACTACCGGACCGGAACTCGAATGAGCGCCCGGAGCGACGCACTGCACTGGTCGCGATGGCGTTGGCGCATTACACATCGATATTGCGGCACTCAGTGAAGCTCGGCTCGCTGAGCAAGGTAAGTTGCACTAAGCAGGTGCTGGCTACACATTCTACAGGGTGGGCAACGCCGCCTCAGCACCACGTGATCATTGGGTCGGATTTGCAATATCCGATCGCCTGCATGGCCTGCTGTTGGGTGAACCAACGGGCATCAGCGCGCGACTGATGACTGTTCGCCTACGACTCGGAAGAGGTAAGTTTGCCACTTTTATAAGCACGTACGGTCTGACCATGTGTTTTCCTGATGACACGCGTGATCACTTCTACATTGAACTATTCTCCGTTGTACAGTATGTGCTGAGGAGCGGCCGACTATTTCTGCTGAGTGATTTCAACGCGCGCGTTGGGCGTGATGCATCGGTGTGGATAGAGGTTATCGGTTCGCATGGCATTGGTTCAGCGAATGCGAACAGTGACAGGCTGCTCTCACTATGTGCCACTCACGGCCTGACGATCACGAACACTCGGTTTACACTGAGTGTGAGTGATATAGCAACTTGGACGCACCCGCGGAGTGGTCACGCTCATCTGCTGGACTATGTCATCGTATGTCAGTGTGATATGCGTGAAGTGCGCATGACACGTGTACTACGTGGAGCTTAGTGTGGCACTGATCACAGATTGGTGTGGACCAAACTGTACATATATTTTCGTAAATCTATGTATTGCACTCCCGCCTTGAATCGGCATAAATTTAATATTCTCTCCCTCGGTACTGTGGCGAAACATATTGAGCTGAAGGCGATGGCTGCACGACTGTGTGATGTGGACTGCATAGCCACAGTGGACGACCTGTGGCACCACATTCGCGACCAGGTGACAGCTGCTGCCGAGGAGATCATCGGGCCGGAGTGTGTTGAAATCGACTCTCCTCCGTTGGGACGGTCATGTTCTCCGAACCCCAACAACTAGGCATCCTTGGCGTTTGTCATTTTATAATGCAATACCTAGTCTGGGGAAGTTTCAGTGGTCAGTCCATCGCATTGTATGGAGCATAGAGAATCCCTACGATCGGATAAGTGAAGCTGGTGTTTGTCGCCTTCCTGCATAGGGTCCTCGAGATCTACCGCATTAGGGATTCAGCACTCTCTTGAGCCTGTGACATTGTTGCACTCGCTTTCAAATCTCTGGCGTCTAATCGCTTTACTGGTGATTCTCTTTCTTGCTTCTTCCATTATTATTATTATTATTATTATTATTATTATTATTATTATTATTATTATTACATTATTACTGTTGTTTTGACGCGGTGCGTCTGGTCAACTTGATCTACCCCGCACTTGTACCCCGATCGTGGATTCCAAGCTAGACACTACGACCTATTTATCTTTACTGTCATCAGATGTACACTTCAGTCTAGTTGGTGGAAAGATGCGGAAGTGATTCTGTTTCTACACCACTTTGAGTCCATTCTTTGCCTCATCTAATCAATCTCACTGTTCCAGTTTGACTAGTTTGCTGATGCTCACATGAAACAGCAAATCACAAACCGAGCAACTTTACTATCCAGCATTATGCTTGCTATTCGTCATGTAGTGGCTCAGATGTCTTGTTTGCAATCTCTACTTCTCTGATTCGGGTCCCCCTCCTGCATCGGCTTGGGTCTCAACAATATCTATCCTGCGTGCCACGACTCGTAATTGCGTAGCATCAGTGCGTAGTACTGAGTCCTGTTGATGCCCTTTATATTACATCGGACGTCTGGCGACCTCAAGGAATGCGCTCTATCTACCACAGATGTTGGCTGCTTAGATTTTTATCTACGCTTCTAGAATCTTTGTTCTTGACTCCTTCAATAACCCACCTCAGTATTTTATCCTGCAGCCGTAACTCTTTAGAACTAGTCTCAGTTGCATATGGTTGGTCTTGGTGGTCTGCGCGCTTCTGAGCAAGCTCTCTCTCAGCTCATATAATAATAATCATAGTAATAATAATAATCCCACTCAGTTTGCGTTTAGCTATGTCCATGATTTACACAATCCATTTTGCATGTGTGTTACTATGCTCTTGCAAAGACAATTCGTATTTGTGTGGTTGCTTGTCTCTGTGTGTCTCTTGCGCAGTATGTGGCTGCTTTGTGTCTCGCGTGTTCGACATGTCTTTGCAACATGCGTTACTTAATCACCTTCGCTGGGGGCCTCAGGACCATTTGACACACCTGATTCTTATTTGGTGGTCTTCCGCTTTCCAGAGTGAGTTCAAATCCCGCAGACGCTTCAGTACCGTACTTACAGTGGGATTCCTTCCCGTCTACAGTTTGACACGGCCTCTGATATAACTATCATTTCTAAGGGCCCATGGAACCACATCAAGAGACCGGCGATTGCCGTTTCTGACAAAGTGACTCACAACGCATCTGACTGAGTGCTGAATCTGGTTGGAGAAATCACTTGCAAACTCGCTTTTAACGGGGTAGAAAAAGACCGGAACATGCTATTTGGAATCGACTGGATTAAGATGTTTGGTCTCTGATGTCCCCCTGAACCAGATATGTAACCGTTATACGCCGAAGCCTCAAACACCGAACGGAGTGTTTCCAGCAGAATCGATGAGCAAGAAGCTCCGCTATCCATCCCATACATTTCGACCAGCTTCTGAGCCCTCGTATGGCGGAAGAAATCGAAAGGTGGAGCAGAAATTCAATCGGCGACATGAAGCAAAGTGACGTCCATACAAGCCAGGAGATTTAGTGCTCCCACGCGACTATCGAAAAGGCTATGCAACATGGACTCCAGGTGAGATCAAACGCAAATATGGAGACGTCATTTACGATTTGTTCATTGGATCGTATACTTGGGTCCGCCATGCAAATCAGTTACGCCCAACCAACCAGAATCGAGGAAGCCAGCCAAGCTGCCTTTCGACCTCCTTGTGGTTCCTTTCAACTTACCGAAACCAAACAGGAGGGGCACAATCAATCGAACTATGTATCCAATTGTCCAGAGCCAACCCCAAAGACATTTCAACATAGGTGATGGACGGACCGACGGAAAACGCCGTCTTCAAGCTTGTAAGTCAACCCGACGTTATCATCCTACACTGCAGCCCCGATCTTAAGAGGAGAGATGTTTGGGAGAGTAGAATTTCCCATTAAGACATTTATTCATTGGGAAAACAAGTGCTGAATTTCTACCTATAACATTCAACTCCCCTGCTACTCTTCTGTAATCAGTACGCTGACCAAACTGCTTATAATGCCATAAGTTAATTGGCGGCTTAAGTTTGCTAAGCCCGTCGCTTGGTGAGGGGGCTACCCTGTCCTCTGCACGGCAGTAACGTGTAAGTCTGGATAGTGAGCGACGCTATATCACATCACGATGGTCGTTGCCGTCCCCCGCAGCTCAGTGATCTCAACTACGGATTGGCAACAATCAAGTTGCGGGTTCGAGCCTTACCAGAATCCGATGGAATGCGCACTGCTGACGATTCCCGAAAGGATGAAACGCGCGTACAGTGCTTTTCCGGGCGTGTGACGG